CCAGAATGTGCAGTCTTGATTGGCATTAAAAAAGGTTGTCAAGTACAAAATTGGAAAAAAGTTGTCCTCCACTAATGTTGAAGACATAAGAATTATTCTAAATTGTTGTCAAATTTTAACCGGAATTTATTGAAACAATGGTTCGGCATTTGGAGTGTCATTGTATAAAATGGATGTCTGTTCTCATCTTCTAATCTACTAAATTCATTTAGCATAGTAGCATGCAGAATATCAATTAACTTGTATCTTCTTGTTCTGTTTGAATTTTTCTCAGGAAAGAAGGGATAATTCTGGGCCTCCCCAAAGCCAAGATGAATCAATTAGTGTTGGCACTGCAGTTCAGGTTGTTGGTCCAACAGGTAGATGAACTATGCAGATATCTTATAATAAAAATTTCCTCTTCTCAAGGTTATTATTCCATATTGTGTTATGTACTTTATTCATCTTACATATGAAAAAAGAAATAAATTCATGCATGTAAATTTATTCCAGCTATAAGAATAAATTGTGATAGTATGTAGATCCAGTTGAATCCTGTCATTGCAAAGATTACATATCGATCTTTTTCTTTTTAATAAACTTTTTGGATGGGCAATGGATCAAATGTTTATCTTTTGGTAGTTAGGATTGAAGGAAGTATTCAATCCCACCTTTAGGTTTCAACTTTCAACTACCCGAGACTTTACCAACTAAGCTAGCTGACACCTTCAAATTGTCACAATCATCCATCTTCATTGGACTATCTTGTACCTTGACCATTTTTATTCTGGATTTTGAACTGATTATGTCTATGGACTATTATAATTTTTAACTTGGTTGTTGATTCTAAGAAAGATGATTTTTGCTAATGAGGATCTGTTATGGCTAGCAAAGCAGCTACTGGCTACCAATTCAATGGGGGAAAACAATTCCTGAAAGTATGTAGATTGTTTTAGGATGATGATGATGATGCACGTTGTCTTAGTACCCAGTTTACTCTTAATGCTCAATATCCTATCTCGGATTATCTCTCTTGTGCTTCCTTATCTCATTCATACTTTACCTTTGCTATTTCACTCTTTGTTCTATTCTATGCCTAAAACTATTACAGAGGCTACAAGCCATGGACCAAGAGATTAACACTTTGGGAAAGAATCAGACTTGGCAATTGATGAAGCTGGTGAAGCTTCCTTCAGGCAAGAAACCGATTAGGTGTGGATGGATATATGCTGTGAAGTATAACGTAGATGGCTCCATTGAAAGATACATCCTTTGGTAGCAAAAATACATTGACATATAGGGTGGATTATTAGGAGACATTTTCTCCAGTTGCTAAAATGAACATAGTTTGAGTATTGGTCTCTTTGGTTGCCCAGTTTTCATGGCCATTATATCAGTTAAATGTTAAAAATGCCTTACTGAATGGTGATTTACAGGAGGTTTATATAGAATTGGCTTGCTCAAGTAGGCAATTTATGGCCTAAAACAATCTCCAAGAACCTAGTTTGGTAGACTCAGGGAGCTATTCAGAGAGTTGGATACAGATAATCACATGCTGATGATATCATTTTTGTTAGGAGAAATGGTGATTTAACGGCTATACTTGTTTATGTAGGTGATATGGTGACAACTGGCAATGATATAGCTGAAATCTCAAGATTGAAGTAATATTTGGCCATTGAATTTGAAATTAAAGATCTTGGGGAACCCAAATACTTCTTGGAAATTGAAATATGCTTTTAATGTATTGAAGGAAATAGGCAAACTTGGAGCTAAACTGATAAATACTCCTATTAGTCCCCAATCACAAGTTATGTGGGAATCTTGGGGATGTTTTGACAAATAGAGGGAAGTATCAACGACTAGTGGGCAAGTTGTTGTATCTTTGCTTGACCCAACCAGATATTTCTTATGCAAGTGTGGTGAGGCAATGCATGAATCAACCTTGGACACCTCATTTAACTACTGTAAGAGAATCCTTTGCTACCTTAAAGGCACTCCTAGTAGAGGTTTATTGCACTCTCATCATGGTCATCTCAAGTTGGAAGCCTACACTGATGCTAATTTATTTTGAAGACAATAGGATGTCCACTTCTGGATATTGTACTTTTGTAGGTGGTAGCATTTTTTTATAGGTAGCCATCAATTAAATATAAATAGTAGTATGTAAAAAGTTTACATACAACCTTTATTAGAGAGTAATCCCTACCACCCCTCCCCTTACATGAATTTACCCTTGATCCCAAAACAATTGATCTCTAGCCACATCTTGTTAGAGCATCAGCCATACAATTAGCAGACTTTTGTGCCCATTGGATTTTTACTTGAATGCTTCTAGTAAGCCATGCAAACTTCTTGATCTCATTTTTATAGGTCTACATAGCTGTTTCATTATGCATAAACCACCTTATCACCATCTTTGAGTCACCTTCCATGATAATCTTCTGAAGTTCATGTCTCTTGCCCATTGTACACCCTCTGAAACAGCCATTAATTTTGCCCTTAGGGATTCCTCTCCAATTGGGCCCAAAAGTATAGCAACAACATGATCCTCTTCATTCCTAAACACAGTTCCCACACCTCAAGGCATTGGGTTCCCCATGCTACTGCCATTGAAGTTAAGCTTAATGAATGTGAGATACAATCTTTCTTGAAGATGTTTCCACCAACGATTTAACCCAACGAACCACCCTAACTGTAATTTATTCAATTATTTCTTCCTTGCTTTTGTCTTGCTCCTTCAATATTCTTGCATTCCTGTCTTCCACTATTGTCCAAATAAGTGCTGCCCGAGTGCATCTCCACATGGTTTTTCCCTTTTCTTTGGACAAACAAAGGTTGATGGTAAGAATAATCCAGCCATGCATGATGGGCAAGTCCCCAAACAGAGAGAAAAACCGTCCCAAAGAATACACCAATTTTGGGATAAGCTATAATTAGTAATTACTATTAGCTTCGTAAAGAATACACCAATTACGGGATAAGCTATAATTAGGCTTCCTTTTCTGTAGCAAATCAAAAGTATTGATTTTTTCATGGAAAACCTCCCAAAAAAATGCAACAATTCTAAGAGGTATTTGACTGCCCCAAACATCTTTCATGGGAATATTGTGTCATGGAGAAGCTAGTAATCAGTGGTGGCAAGGTCAATGATCAAGCTAAGTTTAGTGTAGCACATGGTGTCTAGGAGTTACTGGTATTATAGTTACCAGGGCGATGCCTAAGAAACAAGTCACTTATGGATGGTCACCTTGCTTAATCACCTATCTATTTTGTACATGTCGCTATGAAAAACTCTTATGTTCTTTTTTTTTCTGATATTTGAATAATTAAATAGATATTATTAAGCTAAAATATACATTTTTTCAGTTTATATAATAGTTTCTTGTTATTATGTTCTTATTTATTAGGGTTCAATCAACACACATGTTTGTGTATGCTATCAGGAATCCTCAAAAGCATCAAAACCTGAACCAATAAGCAAGGAAGAGCTTAAAATTCTATCCAATCAAAACATTCTTTATCTTTATCATCATCATCACCACCCCTTTTATCCCTTTTCCTAGACAAAAATAGGGGTTCAGCATCTGTACTTTATGAATTTTCTTTTCTTTCTTCTTTTTCTTCTCATAAACATGTCAATTTTCTATGTTTTAATATGAAGCTCATACCTTTTATGAAGTTTATAAATAACTATCAGTGAAAGATGGTTGCTGGTTGTTATTAGAACCTAGGGAATTACCTAGGGTTCATGGTTTTTATGTAAAAAGTTCCATCACGGCATCACCTACGCAACTAGGTGAGAAGAGTGGTTCCTACTAGCTCCCTTGATGATTAAAGTCTGAAAAATCAGAGACTTTTTTATTTTGGTTTGCGTAAACAGCCAACATTCTTAATGGAAGAAACACACAAATAGATGTACCTATCAAAAGAAATATATGTATAGATGCACATGGAAAGCGTCAAGGACCCATATACAAAAAGGGGGATTCTTGAAAAATAAAAACAAAGAAAAACAGAAACTCTATTTATCTGTTTACTAAGGAAAGGTGTTTCTATGGTGTAATTGTGGCTATCTATTTCTGAAGAGTTTAGAGAGGTCCAATTCCAAAAATGTTTCTCAACAGAAACTCTGTTGATCCAGTGGGTGTTTATTATGTGTAGGCCTTTATGTTAAAGTCCCTCATTAGGTAGTATTTTTTCACTGTATTTTATTTCTAGGGAGTCTATTCTTCAGTTGTCCCTTTTCTGTATTAATTCTTTATTTTCTTCAAATAAGATCAAAAGCAATTACTYTTGACTATTCATGAATCCATTAACATGGATTTCCATCTACTTTGTTGTTTCTGTGGAGTTCTCACATATATTTTATTATTCTTTTTATGTGAAAACCCTAAACCTCTATGTTTCCTCTTCAAACTCCACCAAGCTAAGAAAATAGGCAATAGAGAGGAGGAATAGGATTTTTATTGAAAAAGGGTATTTATTAACCTTCTTCTGATTTTTTCTCTTCTGGTTGCTTATATAACCTAGGCTAAAAAGGGCTGAAATAGGTATCAACTTACAATTCTACTTTATGCTAGTGATAAAAAAAAATGATCCAACCTACTTTGTTTGATAGAAACCCATCCAGGTGAAGAAAAACTGGGTTGGGAGGTTGGTCCAAACAAATATAGGGCCTGGATTGATAGTTTATACATTTCAATCATGTTATCCGATCTTAGCTTTGGAACATTGCTTTTGTGCCTAAAGATAATGTTCTGTTAATAAAAGAGCAATAGTAGCAAGATTAAATGTCAATTTTTTGTTGGATTTATCCATAGAAGCTTCAGAGTTTCTTCCTTATTAATTAAAACTGTCTGCTTCCATCTATTGCCTTTATTCATAACATGTTTCTGACAAATGTTTCACATTGATGGCAGATGATTCAGTTGATAATCTTACTGAAAGAACGCTGCCAAAGTTATTTTTCCCTCATATAAAAAGCTTAGCCACTTCATTTGTAGTTAAGCTATTGGCAGCTCTAGGCATTTTTCTCAGTAGTTTGCGGAGAATGGCTGCAATGCATCATGTAGATGAACAGTTGGATATCCAGTTTGATCAAGAGGTGCTTGGTTCAAGTTCTCAAGATGAGCACACTTCTCCAGCTGCAGGAGAGGGTCTCATTTATCCATGTTTGCAAAGGCTTCAAAGGTTAGAAGCATTGGTAACCGAGCTGACCAATAAACCTGTTACAATTCCTCCAGAGAAGGACGTCATACTAATAGAATCGTTGAACCGTATTAAATCGATAGAACATGACTTACAGAAGACTAAAAAAGTAAGATAATTTCTTTCCCTGTTGTCCCTAATCTAGCTAAGTCAATTGATTGTAATGTGCAGATCAGGTGATTTTCATGTAGATTAGTTGGTTTAGAACTTACTGTTTCCAGCTGGTTTCCTTTTGGATAGGCACTGCATGCAACAGCATCAAAACAAGTGGAGCTTGCAGAATCTTTGGAGAATTTGAAGGAACCCCGTCTAAATGTAAGTCCTCTCATCCTCAGAAATGAGCAATTAATGCACTCCAGTTTCATGAAATACAATGGTAATGCTCTGCTTGGTGTAGGATAATCCAATTCAGAGTTTCTTATTTGGTAGATTTTAAAGGCACAACTAGGGGTCGAAATGAGATGAGGCTTAAGTGAGTTTTAATGCTCATGTAAATGCTGAGACTCAGGCTGGTAGGAGCAAAATTGTGTAATTTGGTTAGAGTTTTAAAGACTTGTAGAAGGGACTGGTAGGTTGTTTAAAATTAATGGTTGATACTATAGCTGAGAGTAGAGTTAGGTAAAGGTGGAAATTGGTAATTTGATGAAGGCATCAAAGGGCACTGCAAGGCCATTGGTTAGAACCAAGGCTACAGTTAATGAATTGATTCCATTTGTCAGATTGTTAGAGCTAGCCGAATAAGGGTAGATTAGTCATTTTATTTCTGTTAAGTTATGTGCTTATGTGGCAGTTTTAATAGAGACTTCCTGTCCCATACTTAAGTGGGGGCAGTTTAGTCTTTGTACTACTAATTAGAGGCTAATCCATATTAGGGTCGACTGATAGGGTTTAGGCTATCAGGTTCGACTGTTCT